CTACTTTGTGAGGTGACTACTACTGTAGAGGGTCCAGAGAGAACTGGTTTGGAACATAGCAGATTATTTCTTTTTGAATTTAGGTTTGTTTTTTTTGTATCAGAAACAAGTTGGGCAAACCAACTTTTCCTGAAACGCAAAACGCAACACCAATTAATCGAGAAGGGTCATTTCATTTGTGAAGTGTCCTTTCATTTGATATTGCCATGCACAGAGAAAGATCTATGATGTAACAGTTCAAATCATGACATTTTACATTTGCAATTCAACTACAGTCAACAAAATTGTGTTTTCAGGGACGTAGTGTAGTGGTTGAAGTAGTGACTTTATTATTCAGAGAAAGAGGGTTTTGGAATTGAACCCATTTATCTCAATTAACGTGAAGTGGTCACTTATAACTCTCATTCAGTTCATTACAAAAACAACCACTATGGCAAACATTACTCGGTATTATGTCTCTTCCACAACAGTTATTATAATTTGGCAATAACATGGAAAATAACTGTTGTATAAAAGCTAATTAATTTCCTTGAATCAGTTTGAAACACAGTTTTAAAGAAATTAAACTCTCTAAAAGATAGAAATTAAACTCTCTTGAAGAAGTCTGATACAATATATTACATGTACACTGAACAAAAATATAAATGCAACACTTTTGTTTTTGCTCCCATTTTTCATGAGATGAACTCAAAGATCTAAAACATTTTCTATATACACAAAATAACCATTTCTCTCAAATATTGTTCACAAATCTGAAAAAATCTGTGATAGTGAGCACTTCTCCTTTGCTGAGATAATCCTTCCCACCTCACAGGTGTGGCATATCAAGATGCTGATTAGACAGCATGATTATTGCACAGGTGTGCCTTAGGCTGGCCACAATAAAATGTTCAGTTTTATCACACAGCACAATGCCACAGATGTCGCAAGTTTTGAGGGAGTGTGCAATTGGCATGCTGACAGCAGGAATGTCCACCAGAGCTGTTGCCCGTGAATTGAATGTTAATTTCTCTACCATAAGCCGTCTCCAAAGGCGTTTCAGAGAATTTGGCAGTACATCCAACCGGCCTCACAACCGCAGACCACGTGTAACCACACCAGCCCAGGACCTCCACATCCAGCATGTTCACCTCCAAGATCGTCTGAGACCAGCCACTCGGAGAGCTGCTGCAACAATCGGTTTGCATAACCAAAGAATTTCTGCACAAACTGTCAGAAACCGTCTCAGGGAAGTTCATCTGCATGCTTGTCGTCCTCATCGGGGTCTCGACCTGACTCCGGTTCGTCGTCGTAACCGACTTGAGTGGGCAAATGCTCACATTCAATGGCGTCTGGCACGTTGGAGAGGTGTTCTCTTCACGGATGAATCCCGGTTTTCACTGTTCAGAGCAGATGGCAGACAGCGTGTGTGGCGTCGTGTGGGTGAGCGGTTTTCTGATGACAATGTTGTGAATCGAGTGGCCCATGGTGGTGGTGGGGTTATGGTATGGGCAGGCGTATGTTATGGACGACGAACATAGGTGCATTTTATTGATGGCATTGTGAATGCACAGAGATACCGTGACGAGATCCTGAGGCCCATTGTTGTGCCATTCATCCACGACCATCACCTCATGTTGCAGCATGATAATGCACGGCCCCATGTTGCAAGGATCTGTACACAATTCCTGGAGGCTGAAAACATCCCAGTTCTTGCATGGCCAGCATACTCACCGGACATGTCACCCATTGAGCATGTTTGGGATGCTCTGGATCGGCGTATACGACAGCGTGTTCCAGTTCCTGCCAATATCCAGCAACTTCGCACAGCCATTGAAGAGGAGTGGACCAACATTCCACAGGCCACAATCAACAACCTGATCAACTCTATGCGAAGGAGATGTGTTGCACTGCGTGAGGCAAATGGTGGTCACACCAGATACTGACTGGTTTTCGGACCCCCCCCAGACCCCCCCAATAAAGCAAAACTGCACGTTTCAGAGTGGCCTTTTATTGTGGCCAGCCTAAGGCACACCTGTGCAATAATCATGCTGTCTAATCAGCATCTTGATATGCCACACCTGTGAGGTGGGATGGATTATCTCGGCAAAGAAGAAGTGCTCACTATCACAGATTCTTTCAGATTTGTGAACAATATTTGAGATAAATGGTTATTTTGTGTATGTAGAAAATGTTTTAGATCTTTGAGTTCATCTGGAGCAAAAACAAAAGTGTTGCATTTATATTTTTGTTCAGTGTATTATGCTGTAATAGCTGTGGGTTACAACATTGCATATATGACTGTTGACATCAATGACAATCAACATTTGTTGATCCATTCAACAAATCAGATACTCCTTGAAGGTCGGCTTGAACTTCGTTAATGATAAACGTCTCATTTGTCAATATTCAGCTCTTTAACCATTCAGTGTTTAAAATATGAAATACAACAGTCTAAGTATAGTTTGGGAATATTTCACTTAACTTGACTATCCGGCCACAACACCAGTGAAGAGGTAAAGAACAGCAGCTTTCTAAAGTCTGCAGTGTTCAGATATGTATAGGCCTATGCATTTTAAAGTATTCTTGCACTTGTTTAATATTACAGTTCTCATGTGAAATTTACAACGTTGTCCACAAGCTACCAGGCTGGCAAAGATCTAATGAGTGTGTTTACATCAGAGCAGCAATAAAAAATGAAAAAAGATTGACAGTTGTTAAGATTGTGGCTGGTCTTTAAACCACAAAAAGCTCCTTCCAAGACACAAAGCAAGTGAACTAAAACTGTAATCCATCAGAAATGATGCAGGGAAAGGAAATGAGGAAAATTATGAAAACAAAAGCTGCGTTTTTTATCCTTTAGAGCAGTGGTTCCCAAACGGTGTGCCGTGAGGCAAGTCCGGGTGTGCCGTGGGATTTTGTGACAACCATACATTATTATTGCAATATACAACTACACAAAAATAATTACTTTTTAATTTACTATATCAGTACTTTGTAGGTTTATATGTACGTAATCTGCGCGACTTCCGCGTCCACATCTCCACATGCAGTGCTGCATAAACATGGCTGAGTCAGCGATAACTCTCGAGGGGTGGAGGTATGCCCATTATTTTGAGTGTGTCCGAAGAATAGACAGGAATGTGACGGTGAGGTGCAAACTGTGTCCAGGCCAGAAGCTGTTATCCACTGCTGTAAACACCACGTCAAACCTCAACACACACCTGCAAAGAACGCATGCTAAGGTGAAGCTACCGCACACGCTATTTGTTGTTTGTTTATATCACGTAGTCTGTTATTCTTCTCTGTCTTCCGGTTGTTGCCTGTTTTGAATGACAAATACACACTACCGCCGTCTGCTGGTAAGGAAAGTTATTGCCACTCACGCATGTGCAAGTTCGTACGTGCTCGGCGAGTAAAGTAAGGAGTTACTTTATGTAGATAGTAACGAAGTAGTGTAATATATTACTTTTTAAAAAGTAATATGTAATATATTACATTTTTTTAGTAACGACCCCATCTCTGGAGTTGGCGTTCTCTACTCTGATTTACATGAAGAACAACAGGAGGTCACGGCTCTCCGTTGAACAGGACTTGCAAGTGGCCCTGTCCTCAGTGCCACCAAGGATTAAAACATTCTGCGCGCCCCGACAGGCACATGTATCTCACTAATTTGTAAGTCGGCAAAAATATTTACAATAGCACATGTTTCAATGCTGATTGCTGAAATGTTAATTTAGTGACCTGTCTGGTTTAAATGAGTGTGTTGCTGCTTTGATGAAGCAAATTAATTTCTGAAATATTTCGTTAATAAATATTTCATAGTTGTCTTTGTCACATTTTATTTGGCATTAGTAAATAATTATGCACATTTACAGATATTTTACATGATATGAGTGATAACACGTGTTATAAGGGCTATTTTGCACAATAAGTGTGCCTTGAGATTTTTACTTGTCCTTTGGTGTGCCTTGGGCACAAAAAGTTTGGGAACCACTGCGTTAGAGAATAAACCGCCCTGAGGAACATTCCCACTGTCTGGCTCCAAGCTCAACAAACTCCAGTGAAGCAAACATTAGCCCAACTGTCTAGCAACTATCCAGCAACACTGAAGCTTTAGCAACTAATTAACAGACTGTGCAAATTTAGATTCAGTGAAAATAATGATGAAGATGAGCAACATCACTGTACAAAGTCTGAGACACAGTCTGTACACAGGCTGAGATGTGTCAATGATATAATGATAAAATACATTGACTTTGAATAACTGCATGCAACTCTGTGCTACATAATAGCAGCAACAAATAACATGTATTTGGCCCAATGGGTCCAACATGATAACATGGCTAAATATGGTGGACAATGGTACAAAATAAAAGTAATTTTAAAGGGCAGAAGCCTGATAACTTAGAATGCATGTATTAATGGCTGTGTGTTATAACATTTAGTTTTTTTAACGGGTTTCAATGGGGACAATATGAAAGTCTGACTGTCTGTATTTTGGCTACGCAGTTAATATACTTAACATAGGAAATGAGGTTACACTTATATATTCTTAAAACAAACTCAAACCCATGCCAAAATGTATGCCAAATGCATCAAAAAAGCCAAACTGATTCAACAATTTCCTATAGTGTTACATAAGGGTTACACATGGAGGGCCCAAAATGTGTCTCAATGTGCCTCAGAGTGGCTTCATTATCCTGCACTCTCACTGGAACAATATACCAAGCGTTTTCCTATGGATTGGTAGATGTTAAACTTTCACATGCAGCTATCTAACATGTGTTGCCAATCCTCTGACTCCATCCACCCACACCATGACAGTAGAACACCCCATCAAGCTTCAATTCCAAAAAACCAGCACTCAATCACTTTCATCAGTCTGATGTTATCTGAAATCCAATGAGTGCCTGTGTGAGGTGCAATAATAGCCAAGAGTGCACACTAGATTGCTCACTAAATGTATCACATCATGCACTCACAGAAGTTAACAGCTCCATGCATGTACACTGACTCACTCTTGTAGCTTGCATTCCAAGGCTGATATCCATAATAGCCGGTGATTCGCAGGATTCGCTCCTCTATGGACGCGCTGTTGATGTCCTCAACTGAGCGCGAGGACTTCAGGTCCTCTTTGATGGCCTCGTCCACCACCAGGTACTTTAGCTGTCTGAGCTGAGGGCTGATGTCCGAAAGCCTTCTGGGGCTCATGTCGGGCGACTTGCGCATCCCGCTGGGAAAAGAGAACAGTGGGTGGTCGGTGTTATAAGACAAAAGTGAGAGCGTTTTTCAAAGGGAAAGGGAGGCTGTGAACCTTGAATGTGAGATGATAAGACAGGAGTTCTCATTGGATAAAGCCAGAACGTTGTTTGTTACACAGAGACCTGCGTAAAGGGCCCCTGCAACTCCCCTCAGTCCAGAAATCTTCATCCTTCACTGGCCCTGTGTCTGTACAACAACACTGAATACACTAAACGACAGTGACTGCTCCTGAAACTGCACTGTGCAACTTCATAACAGGCTTTTGTGAATCTGAAACTAATGAATCTATCACCAGTGATTTGTAGAGACGGAGAGAGTTCACTTGACAACTCCTGGCTTCATGCAGCCATCACTGGAGAACAAACTGCGCACAGCCTAAACAGTAGTGGTTTTTTTTGTATTCCTACTTGCTACGTTGTGTCCAGCAGGTGAAGTAAAACCGAGATAGAACGGTTTAATATTGCACTATTAAAGTTGTGTAATGCGATACACCTTACAAAGTAGCACACTGTTGACCAGAATGACTCCCAGCTGTTATGAAACCGTCAGCAAAACACGATTCATAACCCACTCAGAGAAAATCGGTTCGTAAAATTCCCCCCTGCTGCCAGTCTAACGAATCATAGTCGAATTATCTTTTTTTAGATGAACATCTGACTCACAACAATTACTATCAGCATAAACTCCTCAAATGAAATAAAATATAATCCACATTCGCATAGAACACACTCATCTGCTATACTTGATGTTTATTTAGGGCACTTCTGCCATTTAAAGTACATTTCATTTTTAGCACCTATGACCCAAGTGCGCCACAGGTGCTCCTGTCGTTGGGCTACAATGTGTAAAAAGTTGAAATGTCTTACATGGGCATCAAAGTAGGAGGTCCAAGGTAGCACATACAGTCCCGGCGGGTCCGAGCGACCCGGTCCCACACCATGCTCTCTCCATCCCCATACATCCTCAAGGCCACTAAGAAGGCAGCTGATGTGGTTCTAAATCCTCACCAAGGCAGGGAGACAAGTAACATCCTCCTGCTCATCCTCACCCCTACAAACATATGCCTGGCCACTACAGTAGAGTCTGTTTCAACCTCAAAAGGGTGCGCTGTGCTCTGGGTCCTGCAGGCATTGCAACAGCGCCATCTACCGGAGGAAATACTTTATTGATACAGATGTTGCACATTGAAAGGTAATTACATACAGACTACAACATATGATAATGTCAATAATTATAATGCTGGAAGGAAATATCTATAGTCAACTATGATAAAATGAAAGAATATTATAGCTAAAACTCTGAGTTGTGTGCACAGTTTTGAAAAATAAATGCAGCATTGATGCCAGGGTAAACCAGAATGCTGCACAATTGAATTATTGCACACAATTATTGTACTGTTGAGTCAGTATTGCACAGTCGGTGATATAAATGAATGATGGGCTTATAGCAGTGTATAGCTGGAAATGAGTACAAGGATCAGTCTACCAGATAGTTTAATAGTATACTCTTGAAACACGAAATATACTGTCCTTTTTGGATCCCACACAGATCCCTGCTGCCATATCTCTGAACGTATACTGACTCAGCCCTCTACCTTAGCTGATCTGTGAGGTTTTTTTTATGGCTTTGTGACTCAAAAAGTCCATCAGTAGCCTGGAAAGCTCACATTAACACTTTACAAAAATACATTTTTTCAGTCCTATTCCTCAGTCTGTCCCATTCAGACTGGCACAGTAAGTCTCCCTGACTCAAGATGAATAAGAAACCACGTAAACCTCACTTTGAAGGTGGAAGTAGGTGTTTTATTTTTAATCTGAGTGCCAATTATTTGTGGCTCAGAACAATGGAAAGGTGTTCTGGATGGTGTTCAAAAGACTATCAAGCAAACAAAAGGGGAGACGGGGATTGGAATAAAAGGCAGAACATGCTTATAATTGTATTATAATTGCACAATTGCCTTGATAATATTAGTGACAGCCAAAATACTCAAAGCAAAGACAGAAAGGTTGCTTTTTGGTGGATAACACATTTGGAGTATCTCCGTTATCGTGCAGAATATCAAATAAATATTGACTATACAAACCCAGACTGTTTGAGATGTTTTGTAGTACAGCTTTGAAACATATCAGCGCTTTTACCAGAAAACCTTTTCAAGCAACTATATTTTTCGACAATTTAGTCTAGTGGGTTTCCCTTTGGTCTATTATTCATAGCATACTTCAAGCATTTCAAGATGATAGCAGGCTCTGCATTTCAGAGGTTTAGGTGTTTTAAGTAGCAAGGACACATGTAAGGTTGTTTCTGTCCAATAACACCAAAGATAATTACTGGTTGATTACATCCAATCAGAGCCATGCTTCCAGTAATAGGGTAATTATGTTCACTGCCGGTGATTGTATGTACTTGGCAATTAAAATCAAGTCAGCGTCTTTGTCTTGAGTATTCAGAAGTGTGAACTGTACAACAATAACATTACAAGTAGGTTTTCACACTCATGTAGTGATGCAGTGATCTGACTTTGCCTGCCTGGTATGACCCTTCGATTTCAGGTCCAGTGTTAATGTATTCATTAGCTGTACGTCTAACTGTGTGGAAGTGACTAGGATCTTTATTTTAAATGCAAGGAAGGCCCTACTTAAACCTTGCTTTACCAACTTTGTCAAACAAAACGTAACCAAAAAAATACAGAGATATTCATTTAGTGAATTGTTGTTTACTAAAAAAAAAAGACAATTGTACACCAGCAACTTGATAAAAGTATTTTAAGGAATTGTAATTCAGATGCAGCAAAAAGTTGGTCAAAACTACAAAAGGCATTACAATTCCATATAGTGCATAAAGTATATAAACATATAATTTAATTTAGTATATCCACCCCATATGGTTTAGATATATTTCAGTCCCTATCGGTCCAATATCCCATATTATTTGAAATGCATACCCTCATGTTTAAAAAAAAAAACATGACTCTTCATCTGATGAAGTTTAAGCTGACCTAGATTTACCCCTAGATAAACAGACCATGCAGTAACCCTAATGAAAAGTGGAGCTTACCTTTCATGATTGCGGTAGTGTGGTCCAAAGGTCCCCGCTCTGTGGTCCCCAGGCTGCATTGCGTCTGCATTCTGTGCTCCTGACTGCAGACAGCAGCACAAGAACACTGACTGTTTTTTGTAGACAGGTTTTGCATGGATCAATGACCAGCCACACCTTTCACGTCCAAGTATTAAATGGGAAGGGGGGGCGGGGAGTCTATGCTTACTCAGGCAAATAAAAGTGGAGTCAAGTCATCAATAAGCGGGTCAACACCTCCCATAGGCCGTCTTTGGGAGGAGAGGACCGGGTTCATGTTGCATTAGGCACCTCTCAACTTCAGGGCAAAGCCAAATCAATTCTCACAGCTCGACCTTACCCACACTAAGTAATGTGGACACTTTCCCTGTGAGACACAACCCATGAATATTAAAACAGTTCATATTAAAGAAGTGCTGATATATCACTGCCATCCAGCACACCATCTTCCATTTCAGCAGTCCTCTAATAGTGATTTAATTGTTCCCCTAATCTACAGGGCACTGCACTCCTTTCTAAATATAGATCAGAGATAAAACAAGAGCCAAAGCTTTGGGGCAAAGAAACATAGAATGAACACAGTGAGCATGATTCACACACAAGATACTGATACAAATCATAACTCACTGGCCAGCATATTTGTTGACATGATCGGTTTATTTTCCTAAAAACAGGTCTAAAAGAGATGTATCATTTAGACTTTAAAAGTGCTGGTGAAACCAATAAGGTTAACAATGACTCAGGTCCATTAGTCATTCAAGTGAGTCAGCTATTAGTTACACCTACTGCAAGCTGTCATTCTAAGACCCGTCAACATTGCTGTTGAAAAACAAAACCAAACAGACTTTTCTCACAGCAGTTATGATGATCTATCAAACACTGGTGTAACATTTAGGGCTGTGGTATTTGCCACTTGAACATAAAAGTTCCATTGGTAACACAATGTATTTAGCTACTGTGTGAATAAACTGTTTGATTTTAGTAAATAGGTTACTTTCTTTGAGAACAAATGACATTACTTTTATGGTAACATTATGCCTCTGTTCCTTAAACACAATTATAGATTGATATATGAATAAATGAATCTATGTTTTCTTCCGGGTGATTTTTCATTTCTCCATGCATTCCAAACAATGACATTAGTATGAGGTAAATTGCTAACACACAGGCAGTGGTGCACTTCTGACTCTTGTGGTCGAAACAAGTATTACATCAACAAACACTTTTTTACATGGTGATAATAAGGGACAAGCAAACATTATCATGGCAATACATTTTGTTCAACTATTGTATTTTTGGTTTAGACTAGAACGTGTTATCAAAGTAAAACACATTATTTTCTCATACCGTCCATCAAAATTTGACAGAGCTAGGAATGAGTCCGCCCAGGGGAGTCCAAAGGTCGCCAAAAATGATATCAATTTAGGCGCATATTGCTTGTGATGGATTTAGCATTCTCTACTTACAAATGACTTCTCAACTGGTTTATTTACGTAAAACACAAGTCTCAAAGAAGGTCTAATATTATTAAAATCTGAAAGAAATCACACCAAAATTCCAACAGCTTTTTCCTCAACACTTAATCCATATATCTCAAGAACATAAAGAGATTTTAATGAGGAAATCTCCAGGTTTCTTGTGGTCATTGAACTCATTATAAAAACGGTGAAAAAGTGGAATTGAGACTGTATCATCCTTTATATCCCCTTGGCTCTTTTCATACTCATGTGTTATACATGTGCATATGAAACAAAAACAAAAAAGTGTGTTTAAACTGAATTTTCATTAATTCTCTCACTCTCCTGCGTCCATCTTCAACAAATTGAAAAAAATAGGAATTCTCTTTCTTCTCACCTTTAATATGTAATGGATAGCTCAGCCTAGAAACAGTGTGACAGGCCACTGCTGATTGGCCAGTGCAGGAGGAACTCTAGACCAGTAAAAAAGTCACATTCATAAATTTTTATTTTAGACATTTGGAAACATTTTATATCTCATTACTCAGTGTTTGATTAGCGACATTTGAATATGCCAAAAATAAAGAGCAAATTTGTTGTTATAATCCAGAGGCAAACCTGTTCTTTTGTTGCTGTAGAATAAATGTTATTTCAGTCATGGGGAAACATCACCTTTATGGAAATCGGCACCCTTTAGTTGTAGTCGCCAAAGGCCCCTGTGATTTCTTAAGGGTATATTTATTATTCAGCTGCCATTATTGGTAAGGTTGACACACAGCTGGAGGGTAGCCAGCATCTCGGTGGATGAGAGGACCCGCTGATTCTATTATGTGTCAACATCTTGAACCTGCTCCAGTGAAAATAAAATTGGCATCTTCTGTCATCTTTTCTGGCCAGATGTAAGTGCCCTTAATTATCTTAGCCAATCTTAGATATTCCCTTTTTAGTTTTGCTGACAAATCAAAACAAGTGTCATGCATAGTCCCTCCTCTGTTGCGCTGCTGTTAATATTAAAAGACACCTTGAGAAAGCAGGAAAATGGCACTTCAAAGGTGCTTTTATTCTCATAATAGTTTTCACAGAATGTGTTATGGACCTTTGTTTTTCTCTAACACGTAAATGATCAAATCTGTTCTGCTTTGACATGATTACAGACATCAGATTAATTTTAATCAGTGACTAAACTGGGGTGTATTTACAAGAAATACATTATGATACGTACAAATACACATACATTCACAGTCTTATAATTCATATAAATAAAACATGTTTTTATGAAAAAACACACTTCAATAATCTTTGCCCAATTTGTCTAAAGGCATATGGTGTAATTGGTTATCCCATGTTGCGAGAGCAATATTCAGCCCCATGCATATCAAAGTCCTGAGGGTTGTCTGACATTTGCCATTTGAAAGAAAAAAGTGATTGCACCTTCTGAATATTTATGACCAATTATTTCGGTGAGATGTGGGGTGTGAGGACTATAGGTGAGGATCGAGTTCAGGCCACCTCGAGGCTATATGGCACTCTGATAGCGTTAGATAACTGTGATGGCGATTCATGTGCTTGTGATATGATACAAATGGTGTTTGTTAAAAGCACACAGAGTTAGTGAACATTTTCTCAGCATTTTGACATGCTTGCCCATCACATACAGATTCAGCTTTAGTGGGATCACAAAGTGGAAAGGACAGAAAAACATGCACTGCAGTGTTGCCTCCTCAGTTTCAAAAGGTTCAGCATGAGTGACAATATTTCAACTTGATGGCTTTAGTCAGAAGTCTGAACTCCTTGGAACAGCAAAATAATGTTTTTTTACGTGTTCTCGTTTTCATTTATTCATGTTTGTTAATCATAAAACCCAACAGATGTGCCTGCTTGGTGTGAAACATGAGGGGATCAACTGTGATCGATGCTCTGTTAACATCACATACTGCAGCGATGGAGGTTTTACTGCAGAATAGTTGCAAGAGAGAGAAAGTCTTTGGCTGCAGCATCCATTCGCCCATCCTTCTCTTCTCTCCCCCCTTCTTCTGGTCCTTTCAGTTCATCTCACCTCTTATGCAATAAAGACAGAGTTAACTGGGGCAGTGTGCTGGTGCAGGTCTGCATATATATACTGTATTAATTTAGGCCAACAAAATAGGACTGTTGTGCACTACCACAACCTTACATGTCCAGTTTCATATTTCATAATAGGGAATGTTTTTTATAGAGAAAATATGACCAACACTTGCTTTACTCCAGTAAAAATAAAAGCAGAAATGCTGTAGCAAACGAGAGCAGTGGGGAATGTTTTTGCTTGAGGCCACCTGCATTCCCATAGTCCCAGTGTGTGTGTCGGGATATAAATAGAGTTGCTCCATCACCAGAAAGCGGTGCTATAGGATGGATGCCAGTCGTCGCCTCAGTGCAGCCTAACCCACCCCGACCCACCCCCTGTCCTGGGTGACCCCTGACTGCCTGGAAAACTAGCATGCCAAAGTTTCAACAATGGACTTGTTGTTAAAACCTGACAAGCGTCATACATTTTGCTGCAGTGGGTGTTGGATGCACATGCACAACAAGCTTAAATTCCTGCATTATGTGTACGCTCATGCAGCTAAAGGTACATCCAGATTCCTTAAATAATTGCTTATTTTTCACTTTCTGCACAAAGATTAAGATCGTTCCGGTTGCATGATTTAAACGTGAGGCTGGAGTCTTTTTATCTTCACAGCTCAGAGCCAAGTAGTTTCCTGCGTGCATATGAATGATGCAAAAAGACCAAATAGCAATATTAATGAAAAATAATCAGCCTTCAGGGGATTGTCCTGGTCTGCCCTGATACCCTCCTGACTGACAACCTGGAAGTATTTACTGACTATTGTACTGCATGTACCCGTCTGTGTTTGAGAACAATTTAAAAAACGAATATAGGAGAGAAAGGGTGGGGCCTTAGCAGATGTCCATAAGTATAGGCGTTTTAACTGGCCATGTGCCAAAGTAGAGTTTATGGAGTAATCTTGCTCGTGCATGCAGACGATTTAATTTCTAGCTCATGCTCTCTCCTATATTATTAAAGAATACATGCATTTTGTTTGTAACATGCAAACAGGCATGTAACTCACCCCAATACCAAAGTTAAAAACTCATGTATTCAAGTTCACTGCGCAATGAATAAATCATACATGTGTGAATAATAAGTGTCGGATAAATGTGTCTAAGTGTGTGAGCTAACCCCCTTAACACATTCAAAATGCATTGTATTTTGCTGTTGCGACATTTTCTTTATTTTGATCGTTATTACCTGAGCCTTTTCATACATAATACACAACTACTGTATGTTCTTCTGATGTCTCCAATTAGTTTCAACAGTCATTTATGTTTTGTAATGTAGGCTGTTAACGTTAGATAAGTGCCATCTTATTTAAATGATTATGTTCTTGATGAAGCTCACAGTTGGTTTTGTAGCAAGTGAATATTTCGTTTTTAAAACAGAAAGGATAGGTGTCATGGTGGCCGCTGGGTATTTTACCATGTGCATGTTTTAAATGTTTCTGTTTGAATGTGCTTCAAGCAGGGCTCACTTGATTTATGAGGATTATTTGAAGTGCACATATCCAACAAGGGTGCGGCTCCAAGTTTTTCTGTTGATGTCTTATGAGACTGTTCTGTAATAGTCAAAAATGTAAGTCCAGAAATGAACAGCAGGTATACCGATTTAATCACAAAAAACAGACATTTCAATTCAGTGCTGATTCTGAATATGCCTGGTTTGTACTCCAACTGGCTGACATCCATAAGATAAAACAAGATAAGATTCATTAAGATAAAATAAGATATTAAGAAAATACAAAATAACATACAGCAATCATACAGTACTCACACATTGCCCAGTGCCTGTTGTAGACACACCAGTCCGCAGTCCGGCAGTCTCATAAACAAAGTATAAACATGTTTATACTGGTAGGGATTCTCAAAAGTATTGTTCAATTATTATGCACCCACAGGTAACTGCTTTCTTGTACAATGCATCCATTAAATACGACACCAAGAGCTTACTTTCCCTCGTCTTTATTTCAACTTGATACCATGGGTGTCAGTTCAGTGGCTCTCTAATGAGGCGCCTGCAGAGGAAATCTGTTCAATGAGAATCACACTGGAATAAAACAATATAATGTGTAATGTTTTTTATTACTTTGATGGATATTTAAGGTGGAAAAGAACAATCTAATTCAGACTCAATACATCAAGTATTTGTTCTGCCAGACATTTAATACCGAAACCAGTACATCTTAGAGCTGTGTTAGTCTAAAAGAGTTCGTCATAATAAATTAGTGTACACCTTCAAAAGATGTCCCCTCTTTTATCAAGTGCCACATATAATGAGTTTGATTTGCAAATCATTGCTCATTATGCTCAAAGAAGAAAGCACTTCCTGTTAATCACTGGCAGGGATATCTGTGAGCCTTTTGTTCATCTCCAACTTCAACTACCACCTTTTCTATGATAGATACAATTATGGACTCCACACCTCCATTTCATATTCAAAGACGAGATGAAATACTAAACCAGTGCTTTAAATAAGCGACAATTAACCATATTCTCTCTTTAAAAGGCTCTCCAACACCCTGCAGATAGTCACATTCATTGCCATTTGTTCTGCTCTTCTTTTGACCAAAGTGGTTTTGTATGTAAAAAAGCTTGGCGACGTTCACTCTTAATTGTATACATTTAGTTTAATTAAACATATAAACATGTTGCTGTGTTGGCGGGGACATAGATACACACAATACCCACACATTATCCATATATGTACATAGAAGACTAGATAAAATAATCAGAGGGAAAAGATAAATAACAACAGAGTCAGATTAGTTAATAACAAACCGACTTTATTTAAGACACAGTGATATTTTACAGTTCATGGATTCACTTCTTATGCTAAAATGAATTTTTTACCGAAAAACTAGGTGCACCATTGAAATGTTGTTTACCATTATTGGAATAAACACTAAAATACTTTCCGGAGCTGATGAATTTACAGTATTCACCACAACAACTGCAGAGATATGTACAGAAACATGGGATTCGAATTGTTCCAAACAGGTTACTTTTGTCAGCTTAAATAAATAATGTCAGTGTGTGCTTCCATTTGTAATCCTTGACACAATGTGTTCTCCCTGAACGGATTTTCTTTTCACTCTCAAGACCAACTGTATGTGCGTGACAAACACTGCCGAAAACAGAAGGGTAAAATCCTTGACATCAATCTATGTAATGTTTCTTTAAAACAGTGAAACATATTACAGTAAAAGAGAAACCATATAGCATGGCAAAAAAACAAGTTTTCTCTTTTTCAAGCAGACATTTCGTTAGAATGCTTCACAGTTCACACGAAGGCCCAGACTGGTGGAAAAAGCAACTAAAATCCCACTGATGTAGAAAATACAATATTAAAGATCAGTGAGTAACTCGGGTGATTCAAAGCTAATTTTGCAAGCGGTCACGACACCGTGCCACAGCTCACCTGGACCGTTTCAAATAACTGGTCAGCGCTAACCTAACAGAGCAGCGAGGCGTGAAGCTGCAGGCTGTCAATCTCACTGGAGCAAACGGCTTAAAAAACGTTACATTCAAGACTTCTTCATGAAAGGCTGCGACTGTCTTGATGTGGCGTTGTAGCAAAGAAACATGAGGTAATAACATCAGTTCCACACGGAGACTGAGACATAGTTAAAATTCATAATAAATGCATGTAAAAAGTCTGCATTGTAGCAGTATGCTACACTGTACGAGTGGGTGTTTATTTGCGGCAAACAGAATATTACAGGATGGATAACGGCGTGAAATAATGTCACATCTTTTCACTGCAGATGCAGAGGCTTTTTTGAAGGAGTGCGATAAAAATGTCATACAAAATGTGCATGTGTATATATTTAATTTCCAACTATGGAAAGTTATCCTTGGTTGATGAGCAGATAAAAACTGATGTGGTTGATTTAGCCGCACTCTTGCTCTTTGAGTTTCCCAAATGCACCTTTTATGGTGAATAATTACTTTCATTAGTTACTTCTAAAATGTTGTAAACCTTCCTTATGTCAAAAATATACATTCAAATGATGTTAATACAGTAAAATAGTTTCTGTTAGACTGATAGCTCTTTTTTTTAAGCTCAGAGAAAATATCAAGTCCTTAAAGATCATCAAAAGTACCATTGTCTTTCCATTAAAAATATCTTGATTAAATCTTTGGAACCATGTCCCTTTTCTCTCCTAGTAATACCAAACAGTTATTTGTATCTGTACCTCCGTCTGTGCAATCTGAGCTGCGTTTATCGACAGTGAAAAGCGTGGGGTCAGCCAGCACTCTGCCGTTCCCTTTTTAAACCTCGTTAACCTCTACTTTCCCTTTCACACTGTCCAGCACACATTAAGCCATCCGGACAAATCAATAAATTACAGTGCTTATTGTCACACATGGACAACTACGAAAATCACTTCAACATGTAGAGAAAATATACATAGCTGCAGGTAAAAACTATTCCTCACAATGAGATGTGTGACAACGTCAAGTCCAAAAAGAAAAGTCAACATCTCCGTAAAGATGAGCCAAAAGTGCTACCAAACAACTTTGTTGTTTTATGCAGAGTAAATATGTTCTTGCTAGCAGTTATTTTAATCAAAGGCTGTTTTTCTTGGAAACTTTCTTTTCTAAAAAGGTAATGTTTTTCAGGATATCTTCTCCAGAGCTCAGCGAACCTATGGTTCGTATAATGTATTGTCTGTTCTTTCAGAAGCTTTGTTCAGGATCACTGCTAGCTCTCTTTCGATCAACCATGTGACGCACTTCATGCAATGAAAAACAGGACCCTGAAACGTTCACTAACCTTTAGAGAAATCAATAGGAGCCGATCCAATGGAAAACGAATCAAATGAAGCATTAACTGTTTCTTGCTGTCAAAATTCCTTATAGTAAATTCTGAACTCAATTATTAATAACTTGCATTGTTCTTGAGTGTTAGTTACTGCTTGGCTCATCTTTAACAGGTGTTGTCATTCTCAATGGCGCCATACTGTACATCTTAAAACATTAACCTGAATATGTACATTCTACATACCTGTCAAGCATCTCTACTTATAGGATACATACATATTTATGTTTTAATATGCGAGACACTACAGAGAACTGTCCTATATTCCAGCTAGGGTTAAGAGACCAATTACTTTGAAAAATGTTACCTAAATATGGAATAAATAGCACGGCTCATGAAGGAGCTCATCTCTAGTGAGTCATAAATACAGCAGAAGGCTATTATTGATAGTTTTAAACTACACATTTTCTCCCTTATTGATGTGCATACATTTGAGCACTATATTGTCAGCATTGTGGGTTGATGAAGAAGATTGCTTACTTGATCGGAATAGTATCTATTTGTTTTACTACTACAGTTAGCAGGACTGATCTTTGCATGATGCCTTCAGTTATGATATACTAATACTTGTCTATAGTGTTGCGTGCATTAGCCCCTACTGTCACATTGTCACATTGTTGTTTACTGGATCATGGGATCGTCGTTGGGAGACACCAGACTCGGCACGCTAACAAACGGCTGTGTTTTGTCCTCGGTGTAGACGGTGGCTCTGTTGGACACGGTGGTGAAGGACAGGTGGTCGTGCTCCAAGATGGCGAGGCGGTCCTGGGGCTTGTCCTTCTTCAGGTAGAAGATCTTCCTCAGCTGCTTCAGCTGCTGCAGCTCGCAGAAGGTCTCCAGCACCACCAGCATGACAATCAGACCCAGGATCAGGTACACTGATGACACAAAAAGCACAGGCAGGGGATTTAAGAAAGATAGTATAGCTGCAGTAAGTAGTTTTATTCAATATCACCATATCAAAAGAAAACAAGAATAAACACATATCTTTTCATTACCCTGACAAGAAACACTTACATTTTCTCCTAGATTTAAGATGTTTTTGAGATCTTAACAGTGAGGTTTCTATGGGAGTTCAAATTATTTATACTTTTGTATTAATATAGGTTTTACCTTCTTTAGTTGTGCTATGGCTACTGTGGTTGTATTTATCCAGTTTAAAGTAGTTTATCATTTCTCTATGCCATTGTATTAGGAAAAGCACAACTAATGAATGTTTCACTATTGTCCAAATACCTGTTGTTTACATCCGCTGACACAAGAGGGCAGTGGCTAGCCTAACATGTTACCATAAATGGAGTGTGTGCTTTGTTGAATGGTAAGAGGAAAAAAACAGCTTTAGACAATGCTTTAAATCACCATTTAAGTGTGTGTTGATCAGTGCCTGCAGCAGAATATTTCACTGACTGGCTTCCCCTTCAAACAGGCAAACGGGGGGGAAATCCCCCGTGAAAATCCCTAGCATCCCAAGGCGTGTTTGAGTCGGTGTTTAAACTGTTTTATTGTAATACGACTATTGTAAAAGCCCCTTTTTTACAGCACCAGTGAAAGGTTTTACTATATATTTAGATTCAAGCAATAGTCTTAAGATTGGGCTTTATTAAGAAGGCAGGACATATTGTATGTACACAGAATCAAGCTATACCGGCTTACATGCAAAACACAAAAGCAATGGAAGTGCTAATCATCATGCAAAATCAAGACAAACAAACGAAGTGGCAAACTAAGTCTTCTGTTTCATAGCTCCAAAAGGTTTTGCCGATAGCAATGTCACTTCCGTTGTTCGTCACAGAGGAAGTAGTACAAATGTTTCTGGTGGTATTTTTGCAAACCAAGACATTGGGTCAGAGCTTCCTCTCTGTTCCTGCTAAATAACGTCTCACTGGTGGTGCGTACAAACCTCCCACACACATGCAGGCGACAGTTCACTACAGCAGCGTTCATCATTCATGCTGTACACCCACAGCCTGTCAAGAGTGCATGGGTTGAAATTGAATTTGACTTTTATTCTGGGCATTAATAGCTTTGACAGTGCTGCTAAAAGGAAGCTGAACAATCATGCAGAAAATGCAATCAATGCCTTGCTGCTCTCCATTAGGCCAGGCTCCGTTTTTCTCCGGCACTGCATTCGGTTTTCTAAACTGGCTGAATTAAAGGTATTAAGACGGGATGGTAAATGCAAAAAGGCTGTGAAAATGCCACAGTTAAAAACATACCACAGTTAAAAAACATACATTTGCTAAAAAAGTCTTTAGTTTAGATTAATAGCGGCCTATTTTTAAATCAATAGCATAGCCTAAAAATAGCAATAGCAATGCTGTAAAGTGCTGTAAAATGTATGTTGTATCATCTAAGGTCAAACTGAGATAAAGCCACTACTAACCATATGTACTACAATCTAGATCTGAAACAGGAACCTGCTAGTCTTGCTTCAGCTAATTCTTATCAACCAGTATATGAATCTACAAAAAGGGAACCAATTATACCTGAATCCTATTTGTGTATCTGTTATTCTTAGACATGCGTTTACCATATTGATGATATAACACATATATCACACATTTACAGTAAAGATCGAGCTGGTTGTGTCACACCCAGATCAAAGTTCACCATCATAAAACAATCCATATGTGATACTCTTACACACCTTCACCGTAAATCATTTTGAAACTGAGGAACTATTTAACAAATTAAGACTATCACACTATCACATATCGTACAGTGTTATGCACATTCTATATCTACATCTATATAAGGGTTTGATTTGCTTGATGCTTCCTGTTCCTTCCAGTACAAACAAAGAAAGCAGTATATCCTCTTTGCAACAGGAAGTGTTTATGAGAAATGTAATTCGACATGCAGGCACTAACACAGGCTCTGCTGTGTGCAAGTTGTCCTAATATATTGGCTCGCAGTATATATGATTTGACAATGATATGACAATGTTCAAAGGGGTTCACAAAGAACCATGACAAACACCTTTATAAGGATTCAAATGGACTTGATGCCATGTCTTTTCCATGGAATTAGCCAGTACAAAGAATAATGTCCACTCACCAGTGATGCCCACTTTGTAGAGTTCCCTGAACTTCTGATTGGTGGCCTCTCCAGGTACGTAGTCTCCCAGGCCGATGGTGCTGAGGGAAATGAAGCAGAAGTAGAAGGACTCCAGGAAGTTCCAGTTGTCCTCCAGCGCTGAGAAGATGGCGGCGGGGATGAGGAAGAAGCAAGAGACGGCCATGGTGGCGAGGACGGTGGCGTGGACGATGGCCACCAGAGGCTTGGACACGCCACAGCGCCTGTAGAAGTACATGATGGGCCTGCGCGTGCTGAACACCATGATCCTTTGCACCACAGCAGTGAGGAAGAGGAGGGTGAAGGGGATGCCAATCACTGAGTAGATAATGCAGAATGCCTTCCCGCCGCTTGACAGTGGGGCTGTGTGACCGTAACCTGCAGGGAAAGAAAGCACACAGGAAATAAATTGGTGTAAACATCTTCACTCCATCTCACAAAATGTTTCTGGTTTATTTAAACGTATCTGACTATGTTCCTGAACATCCAGAACAGGAAGTTAAATACAATTAGGGAACTAAACACAGTAACCGGCAATACCCAAGATGTAGGCTCTCTTAAAGCAGTTACAGGTAGATAGAGGATGATTTTTGAGAATAGGATTGTGTTGCAAAAAAAACCAACATGTTCTTGTGAAGTGGAACTGAGTGTAAAAAATACAATGAGCCTATTTACAAGAGTGTGCAAATGAGTTACTTGAAGTTGAATGCATCTACTTTTGTAACAAATAAGATCAATGACAGACTGGTTCCTGTAGCTTTTTCTGTAGTGAATATTAAAAGGGGTGTTTTCATGGTGTGTGTGTTTTGTGAGTAATCTATCTGTTGCAACTGTTGAGAAACAAAGGTATTAGAAAGTATTCCACAACAGTCCGCATGTTTCATTCATCACAGTTGGTGGGACAAAATGAATAGCAAACCTATTCGGAATGGGCCATTGCGATTAATAAAAACAAAATGTTTAAGACATTCAGAAAAAGACAGAGCTCTATCTGACCTGTCAAGTCTCTGTTTAGCCATCATCAGAATGTGTTGAGACGTATACAGGAAAGGCTTTAGTAGATGTTATCACCAAAATCGTGTATGTTGAAACTTCCCAGATAACTGCAACTGCGGTCATACTAAAGTTCTTCAGGTATCCTCCCTGACGTCTCCTGCGATTTTTTCGAGCATTGCTAGATAACAGAAAAAACCTCTACAGTATGCACAGTGCCATGCAAAATGTGTGTAAATGACAAACTATTTGTTGAAAAGCTTGAGCTAAACTAGAACATGTAATGCCTGAGGAAGGTGATGATGTTGACATAGAAAACGGTTATGTATGCTCCTGTCCCTCACACTGGATGAAGGCTTGCCTCTGTCTGCAATACAGCAACATACTGTGCAAGAGGGCAGCTCATTTAATGTTGTCAAGAGGCAAGGCAGTGTTCACTGTGCCAAAATAAATGTAACATATAATAATGTATACTGTAGCTTTAGCCATGTAGCCTACCAGGGCTACACATGCAAACGTATTGTAATACAAACATAGCAGCAATTTGCTAATTTATGTTATAAATGTTACATTCCTAGGGAACATTTTTAGTTTCTATACCAGCTTAATTACATTCAGAAGTACGTGTGTGTGTCCTAGTAGTGGTTTGGGTACATTAGAGCCCCCCAGAAAACGATTTCTAGCCAAAACATTGGCCCACTTCAGACTAATGTTGGTTGTAAACAAATGATATGTTGCTCTGCTCGCCGGGTCGGCTGCAGCATCACATGCACTGTCCTCGGGGACCAACACTTACCTGTGGTGGACAGCACGGTGCTCGCGAAAAACAGCGCAGAGGTGAAGTCCCAGTTCCAGTTATCTGAGGCGTTATTGAGGATGGAGACCCCATAATTACTGGCATCCAGGGCATTCTTTAGAAACCTCTCCAGACGATCCTCGGATAGACAGTCGTTTTCTTGGAGGAACTGTTTTTTAATGGTTCTCAGCTCCTGGCGCAGGAGGTCTTCGTAAGGCAGCTCAACCGAAGAAAAGACCACAGCACCGAATACGAGATAAAGGACATACCCCAAGACTAGAGACACAAAATACCATGTCGATTTGTGACTCTGTATCAACCGCACGCATGAATTGCTAGCAAGAGACTGGAGCATTGTTGTACCTCGGGGTAACGTTACCGTTGTATATAAGTATATTACTAAACTAACGTTATCAATGTAGTGGCCTGGCGCGTTATATTACCGAAATAAAGAGCTATCCTCCAGAGAGGGATGTTGTTATAGACAAAGCTCAAATGAGGATCCTCTCCCCCTCCACGAAACCTGCTGTGGGTTCTGAAGCGTTCAGGTGCCGTCGGACATATCAGAGACATTGGATGAGAATAAGAGTATTTTGCTATAGAAATTACTCCATGCGATTGAACTTGCAACGTAAGATTGTTTTGGACGGCTTGAATAGACAAATAGATGTGAGATAATGTTTGTATAAAAGCACGAACAAAAATAGGCCACGTAAGGTTTCATCATCATCAGCTTTATTTGAAGAGACTCTTCGTCAATTTTAATTTTTTTTAAAGACATAGGCTACAACACTCAAATGTCTCTGCCACTATGTACAAATGCAAACACATCGTACTGGGACTGATTCATAAAATAATAAATACAAATCCGCAATTCCGTTTATTTGTTTTTTTAGTCTATTTAAGAAAAAGAAACACGTATTAAAAGGTCCCTGCATGTAGTTTTCTTATTTACAAGCTTTTATTGACCCTGAATGCATCAAGTGATGTGGCGGCGACAAAGGCCGGGCGTGTGACGTAAGAGTTTCCGTTCCTCTCCTCCCAGGTAGTCTTTTGACGTCTTTCGGTGTCTAAAGCCACCGTTAACGTCCAGCCATTGTCACCGTCTCATCGGCTTTTGTTTTGTAACTAAAGAAAGTGATTAGCATAATGTAAGATGATACGCCCCGATACGTAGATATAAAGCAAGTTTAGAGGCATGCTGGGTTGTAGAGACAGGTGCCTTCAGTAAGAACTGAGCTCGGTTAAGTTAGAAACATATTGACGTATTTGAACTTGATGGATCCATAATTCATAAACATATTGTTGTTAAAACGACTGCAACCCTAACCCCCTAACCATAACCCCCTGTCTGCAGTCGGAGGAGAGACAAGTGAGCAGGAACCGTTCACAAAGTGCAGCACCGAAAGACACACAAACATATTCAATGACTACCCTTTGATACCGTCAACATAAAATGCTTTTAAAGTATTTATTGTGTATTCAATAACCTCAGTATTGGACAGTGCAGTGCTACGAAAATAAAAAAAATGGGTTACAACATTTAGTTTGAAAAAGAACACCTTGGAAAGATTATGATTTTTTGTTTTGTGTAGGCCTACACTATTCAAACAGGTGCTACCAAACTAACTTTATAAACCAACGCTCTCCTGCTGGTTATACCACACACTAACAAGTAAAACATTTATTTTGCATAATGTTGATGAATATTTCTTTTGTAAAATTGTCTCCTGCTCCTGCGCATAAAATCACAAAAATGTATCATATACAAATGACCATTCTGCATTATAGATGTAGGTGTATTTCACTGCAAAAATCTTTAGCGTACTTCAACTTATGTAAGCTTTTGAATGCAAGACATGTACTTGAAAAAGAGTGTTTTCGAACTGTAATAATACTTGTACTGGAGTGAAATATCAAAAGTATTCTACTGTGACTTCTGTAGAAACGTCATTTCATAAATGCAGTTTTTATGTAATATCATTTTAAATTGAAAATGAGTTGTTTCTGCTTTTTAATCGCAGCAAGTTTGCTTCTTGCCTTGTGATGAAGTGTAACGAAAACCTATAGCCTACAGTACGCTATGGGAACAATATTAATTTGAGTATTTAGTTTGTATAAATGACCTTATTATAAATCCATACTATAATTGTACATCCACACTAATTATAAATATGAATACACTATTTGGAATTTCTGGATTGTGAGTTGCCATTGAAAACATTTTCAATGAACTTTTTTTGTTTTTAGGTATTTGTGGCCACTTGATTTTAGGTACAATTGACCAAATAATATTTATGAACAAACATGTAAAGATAAACTGTAACATTTATGACTTGAATATAGACATTTTTGTTAGTAGCCTCATTAAGTTTGACTAACCAAGTGGAAAAACTGCTACAAGTCCACCAGGGGCCCCCAGAACCCCCAGAATGCATGGGCTGCTGCACATTACAGGAATACTGCATACAATTCACTGCAGGTGAGAAAAGAGGGGATTAATGGGCCCAAACAGATACATAGGGCAATGGGTCGCTGGTTACATTTGCTTCTTCTGAGAAATTCTTCATTCGTCACGGTGTTGCAGGACATTACAATGGGACCCTGACTGACATCATGTCACATTTTGGGTCCCTAGTAGCCTACTTTATTATTATTATTTAAGGCACTACAATACTGTCTGGTGATGGGGTCATCTGCCATCTGGAATCAGTTTCCCCGTTCCTTCACTGACAACTAATGATTTTCATTAATAATTATTTAAATTATTCCCAGCAGTCATTTGAAGCATATTGCATTTTCCACTGCTCTAAAACAAATACTTTTTACTATGTTAATTCATCATATTTTGTCATGAGGTGATGAAAGGACAACTGATTTGACTGATGTACTTTGAGGTTAAAACCTAGCAGTGGGGCCCTGCACAGCTATGGCCGTAATGACCTATCCGGGTTGCCGTAGTAATGCAAAACTGTGGCACTCCTCCTCAATGAGCGTTGGAAAGATGGCGACGGCATACGCACAAGCGAGAGTCAACTGTGCCGGCGGATAGAAAGTGTTCAAAAGAGACACAATCCGCCTCTCTTGCAGAGATTTAACGGTGCAAAGTCTGTCTGATATCACTTAGACATGGTTTAGTCCATGCACGGCTAGGAACAAGAAGCCACTGCTTTGCTATGGAGCCTCCGGATCGCAACAAGCCCAGCAGGTATGCGAATTTGTTGAACAGACTACACCATCAGGACCTCGCACTTGCTAAATAGGGAGCTGAAAGTAACACTGTGGCGGCGCTTGCGCATCTCCTAGAAATCGACTTCCTGTCAAATAGTGGTAGGCGTGCAGTTACTGCATTTGCAACACTGGAGTTGCAAACTTTTTGGAGCAACATTTTTAGGCTAACTTTGCTACAGATATTATCTTGTCGTCCGATTTTCTGTTGCTAGAGAGAAAGGAACAATGCTCGCCAAATGATAAGGTAACATTTACGAACAATTACCAACCGCTGTGCAACATGCCAGGGAATAAGCTAGCTAACATCCACTATTAGCTGTCGCTTGTCACTTTATTGTTCAGCCGCAAGTTCCCCAACAGAAACTGACCTACCTGTAACTAAATACTTTAAATAATGCGGACTCGTAAGGTTGAATACAAAGTGTGTTATTCATTATTTGAGTATGCCAGACCATGCATTTTAATAAAACACCGAAGCTTAAACTTCGTTTTCTTTAGCTAGCATGTGGCTCCACTGTTATTGTTAATCATCTAGCTCGACTTGGCGTTCGTGTTGTTGTCTCGCGGTCATCTGCTGAATCATGATATGGGCTTGTGGACTGTGTGCATTATACACTTAATGCATATGTAAAAAAATCATTATAATTGTTCCTTGTTGTGGTTTATAACTTTGTTGACAATCTGTTGCAAATGTATGTGCAGCAGCAAATGTTTCATCATGATGTATGCATTTCTAGTGCTCAGATGACAAGGTTACTGAACGATACTTATGCAACCTCGCAGGGGAATGCATACACACAGGCGGTCATAAGATGTTTTTGTCATATGTGCACGTCTTCTAATCGCAGTGTTTGTCCCTGACGGCTGGCGACAGACCCTCAGGATTCTGCTGTTATGTCTTCCCCTCTCCTCTATTTTCCATACATGCAGTAGTCTGTCTGTAGAGCGACTGACTTTGAAAGCATTTTTCACATTGGATCAGCTCTTTCATCTGCTTTGGTCTTGAGAAAATATCTTGTGTTTTGACTACTATTTCAGTATTGATTGTGTATCAGCCAGTTGTTATTCCCTTGCACCAGCCAGTTGTTATTCCCTTGCACCCTTGTTGTGACCACTCAGTGGACACACAGACAGCTTGCATGATTGTGCAATACTGATCCTAGCTGTCCGGCTTTGTTGCATAAAGACAAATACTGAGTATTGCCATTGCTGGAAACAAGTTGAGATGATAACAAGATATTAATTATCCTATTTGTCTCCAGCTGCATGTGTTTACAAAGTTCAGGGTGAGAGGTAAAGCATACACTGAAGGGCTTTAGGTGTGTTTTACTAGATAGCATATCCTGTCAGTGGGCCTACATTTGGATCTGCCTGACAATCTGTTTGTGTTACCATTTCTATAGTATCTGGATTAGAAACATACACAACTTGCACCATTGTGAACAATGTAGCTTACATGGCCAAAGCTACAAGTGTGCAGGAACATAACATGAGTTTAATTTTCAATATGAAATCAATAGGTTTTGTTTTGGTACTTGTATGAGACAGGTCCTTTTTTACATACATCAGAAATATACCATAATTATATATCAGTTATTCTGAGTATCAGTTATTTACTTGTTTGGCCATTTAGCGCTATCATTACCAAGTACAGAGGTTCTTTGTCAATAATGACTTGTTCCCAAAGTCAGTCTGAAGACATTGTGGCTAACATGCATTCCAGAGATTTCAGGATGTGGTGAACAGTGCGCAGTGGATAGCTGACTGGAGCCCCGGAGACGCTCATGGGTAGAACTCATTACTGCCTGCGTTTGCCAGGAGCACAGGCTGTACTATACAGATGGACCGTCCTCTAGTATTTCCTAACTGCATCCTGTCTCTGCCCACACCTGATTCAGAGAAATGTGTGCTGCTGCCACCCTCGTCTGCCATTTCCTTTTAAACAATCGGATCTTTGTAACTTCTAAAACTATGGCAGTTGTTCTTGTTGATACGCTGCAGGAGTGATAGAAGACAGGAAAGGAAAAGTGTTCGTTCATTTCATTTGAAATGTACGATGTGCTTAACTGCAAGACAGTTGAATGCAAGTTGGAACTGACAAAGGCGTTGCTTATGACTGTACAGTGTCAGATTAAATGTTCTAGGTGGAGCAGACTACTGTCTGCACTGAATATATGATGCAAGTGGTATTAGGTGAAAAACATGTGATTACACCATTTACCTCATGCTGCAGCCCGTAGTCTGCAATCAGTGTCTACATCTAGATTCATTTACATCATGGGACTTGTTGTGGTTA